TCGATAGGGCTGGCGAGATGGTACCTGACGCGGAAGGCTTGAATACAAACGAGTGTGCATATTCCTCTTTTCATCTCGAAATGCCAATCTCCTTCTCGTGCTTCTCCAATATCGAGTGGATCGCCTGCCGACCCCGGCCAGCCTGGCTTGGAAGCTTGCTGAAGCAGCAAGCCCGATGGGATGGAGCGCGAGCACTGAGAAGCTGGAGGCTGGAGCACCCAGTGGCAGAGATAATGTTCAACTGATGGCATCTTGCTGTGCTTACCCACGCGATTTCCCAAATGTTAATTATCCCCGAGACCGCATGCGACAGCCTACAGCCTACAGGTGCAGGCGGGCGACCGCCGACGATGACATGGCCTTCCATCACACTAGCTATCCGTTCCAATTCCTACCTTAATGGGTTCCGGATGCTGAGTGGCAGGGGGCAGGCCACTTTTCGATAAGATACTGGACGGATCCCATCCACAAGCTCCCTCGGCTTGTTTCCACGTCCACACGCCCCCGTGTCCTGCCCCCCCCTCTCTTCCATTCACTCAGGTCCACTGAGATACATAATCACAGAAGGAGGTCAATATCCGTACCTCACCTTACTTGCATATCCCTACGGCCACGCAGCTTCCACGCAGTCACGCTGCATGCCCTGTAATTCGAATACCTCATCGAAGGTTGCCGCGGACCAGCTGCTCTATGGGGAGAGCCGACCTGAGGGTATAGATGAAGGCTGTTGGCTGTTGAGTAAGCGCTGCCAAATGCTTACATGGACAGTGAGACGGCAAGTAACAAGTGAGGATAGCTGGAGATTGTACTGCCCAACGAAGGCGTGCCATCCAACTTCAGTCTCTGATTACTGGTACGTGCCTCTTGTGGTGTCTCGCTTCAAGTTGTCGTCTCGCCTCGACCGTGTCGCGGCAGGCTCCCTCGCTCAGCATTGGGGAATTCCAAGTCGAGGAACGGAGTGGAAGGGAGAAGCTTCGGAGGAATTCTAGGTAAGCGCGTAGACTTGGCCCAGCAAGTGGAAGGGTGGTTGGCCGCGAACAATCTGTTGTGCCTTGATACGATGCGCCGGACATCAGACCTCGTGCTCGTGGGATTGAGGGAAAAGAAGAATACCCATCCGGAAGAGTGACGATATCGAGAAATTCATTGAGTACAATCCCAGGTGAAGAAAAGTAAGCGTGAAACGTACCTCTTTCCATGAAGAGTTGAAGGTAGGTACGTCCGAGAAAGCAGTGTGTATCGGTACCTTCCTCCGGTTCGGCCACCCCCACCCCGTCCTCCTCCTTCCCAGCGATGGAGTTCCCGTCAAGTTGCGCTAGCGTCCCGTTGCTCAAAGTCCAGGACTCTAGCATCCAATGTCGTCTCTCGTCCCTGGCCCCCCTTGGTCCCAGATTCCCAGTTGGTGTCCCAGTCGCCGTTGCAGTTGCAGTTGCAGTCGCAGTTGTTCTTTCCCACCCAGCAATTTTGATGTTGAGGGTTGCACCCCCTTCCTCCCCGGCCCTTCCCCTTTGCTCCTTCTACCTGTTGCATATCCGCAACAAGGTAAGGTAAGGTAGGTAGGTACCTTAGGTTCCTTCCACGACCTGAGGTGAAGCAAGGCACCTGCAGTAAGGTAGGTAAGGTAGATACGCACTTGCCTATAGGCAGAAGGAGAACAGAGTGCCCATCCAGCACATAGGAATTTGAAGCTTCGACGTGTAAAAGTGTTAGATGGGCAAGGGCATGTGCGGGTTGTGCATCGGGTTCCTCCCTCTTTGCGCAGTGCTAGTGTTAAGTAGATGAAGCACGGTCACTTCGTACCCCGTACACAGTAATAAACTAAGGTACGGTATCCCGTTGGCACCTTCCTCGACTTCCATCTCCTTCGCCCCTCCACCCCCCCCATCGTCCACCCTCCCATCCCTGTCTCGTCTCCTCGCAGTCGTTGCTGCCCCGGTGTGTGCCCCCCAAGGTTCCCAAGCCTGCCTTACCTCACATTGGTATTCTCCTTCCCCCTCCTCCACTTCTGGTGCTTGGCTGGAAACTTGTCGCTGCCGAACTCCCCCAATTGCAGTCGGCTCAACTGTACCTACGGCATGTCGCAAGTAGCAAGTAGCAAGTAGCAGTACTTTGTGCAGAGACAAACCTGCCGCTCCCTCCTGTCTGTCCCATCCTTTGCTCCTCAACCTCGCCCTCCTCCACCAGACCACTACCCACTGCGTGACTGCCAACTGGGCCTTCCTTCCGCATCGGCTTGGCTGCGCTGCCACCGTAGTGTGCAAAGTACCTCCCTGTCGCTGGCAACTGCTCCTCCCTCTCACACTCCCGTAGTCTTTCCCACTCTTCTTCTTGTATTTTGTATTCTCGATTTCGTTTTCCACACTCGTCTCTTTCTAATCCTGTCACCCCGGGACTGGCTGCACTAGCAATCACAAAAGTCATCATCATCATTCTCTTTGTGGCTTCTTCCCTGCCTTGCTCTGCTGGCTTGTACTGCTCAACTCCTCCTCACTACTTCAAGTTCCACGTCGCCTTGCCACGGTCCGAAGTTAAGCCAAGGCACAAGCCTTTAGCAAAAAAAGACCAAAAAAAGATACATCGCTACCGCGCATCACTCTACCTTAGGTTGTCCGACCTGGCCGCTACATTCTAATACCCAGACCACCTCACACCTACCCACCCACCTAATCACCCATACGTCCGATTCGACCCGCCAGTTCGCCGTCGTCTCGTTTCCCGCATACCTCTTTACTCTCCTCCATCCTCGGAGCACTCGCCTGATTTCCCTCCATCACTTCAAACCGCACCAGTCGACTACCGCCACCTCCAAACGAGTGCCCTCGCACCAAAGTCCGCTGCAAGGAAACTCTTCTTGCGCATTCCCAGCCAAAAAGAGTCTTTCTTTTGCTCTACCTACCGCCTGCTTTCATATCCGTTGGTCGTTGACTCGAGTCCGCGCAACGACTTCGAGAAGAAAACCCCGTCCCTCTTTTCCCCTTTGGTGAGTGGTTACCCTGTCAGTCCGCTACAACCCCTGCGCAAAAAAAGCCGCGAGACATTTAACCGCGCCGCCGCCCATACCCAAAAATTTATTTTCCCTGTCTTTCCCGTTGGCCTCTCCCCTGACACTGCGGCGCCGTCTTTCAACCCATCCCTTTGCGACACCGTTCCCCCTGAGGCTTCTCAACCGCGCCTCTGGTCTCGAACATCGCCGTGAGAAGACTTGAACTGATTTTCCCTTCTTTCAGAAAGGATCAGAATCTCTCGACCGGTCTTTCCGCGCGGCACTTTCGTCTCGACCTCTCAGACAACAACTGTGGCCAACCCGGTTTCATTTCCCTCAACCACAAGCGTCACCATGTCCTACTACGAGAACAACCCGCAATGGTCCAATCCCGGCCAGAACAACTGGGAACACCAAGCGCCTCCTGCCCGTGCTGGTGAGTCGGCCCAGTTGTCGCAACAGCACCAAATCGCAAAACCGGACGCCGGAATTGACTCGAGGTTCTCGCCAACAGGTGCCAGTGGCCCAACGCCCCAGGACGACTTTGCATTCTTCTACCAATTCGAGGGTAGGTCATATCGAAATCTTCGGCGCGCGGCAATCAAATACGTGGCGCGGGCGTCTCTCCATCGTGGACCGACCCGCGCCTACAATCTGTCGCGCGCAGGAAGAGCCTTGCTAACAAGATGATTACTACAGATGTGGTGCGGACACTGACTGCTAGGCCTACAGAGGTTGATCGTGCCTACGAGAATCTCGCCAAGGGCGGGAAGTCATACGGCATGGGCGGTCGCGGACGTGAGTACCCAACCCCTGGTGGTCCCAAGATGGGTCCCGCCGGTCATGGTCCCGCCAGAAAATCCCTCGACTTCAGTAAGTCTGTCCGCAACTGGCGGGCATCACCGCAGCCTTCCCGATACTAACTTGTACCGCGCAGCTGGACGCATGGGAGCCGGAGCCGGTCCCGGACCCAGACCGCACTCGATGAACCAGTTCGATGATGCCCGAGGCCACCCCAACTCGAACCTCCAGAACTTTTACGCCTCCCAGCGCCACCAGCCCTCCCGAGGCTCCAACGACGCGGAACAGATGATGCAGGCCAAGAGAAGGATGGCCGCCCAACGGGAGCGGGAACTGCGAAACCTGCACACTGAGCAGCAATACCAACGAAGTAGGCCGCCCTCTTCTGTATAGCACACGTACTCCATATGCCAGGGGGGAACCAGCAAAGCAGAAAAATAGATAATTCAGGCCGAGGGGTTTCACCATCATGCGCATCCTGCTGCCCCGTCATGTCACTGTCGAAAGATGCTATCCTGAAAGATCCTTCGTCCATCCTTTCCCCGTAATACCGAGAGATTTCGGAGGAAGCCATGCTAATCAACTGTGCGCGCAGCCGTCGTTTCTGACATCCCCTACGGTGCCAAGGCCATGTCCGAGGAGGAGACTCGCGACCTGATTGCTCGTCAGCGGAGCGCCTTGTACGGCGAGGGTCCGTTTGCTGAGAAGGCAGGCTATGTCGACGAGAACGGAGTCGTGCGCACTGGTGTCCCGACCCACAGCGGCCCTTCCAGCCTGCGCGGCCAATCCCCTTTGACCTACGACCCGACTCGCGGCCCGCCTCCCCACGGTGATGCTCACACTCCCGTTTCGGCCACTGATGCCGGTCCCGGCCCCATTGCTGGACCCCCGGGCGAACAAGGCTCCCGCGGTGGCAGCATTGCCAGCCCTCAGCCCAACGCCCCGAGCAACAACAAGAGTGCGTTTGAGTCGGCGGTTAGTCAGGCTGCGGCTCGCACCAACAACTCGTCGCCAGGCGGCTCCCCGCCGCGCCAGGAGCTTCCGGCCGGAGCCAAATCGGGCCAGACCGTTGCTCCCATCGGCACCCGGCCTTCGGGAAATCAGGCTGGAGCCTCGAACCCGTCCTCGAAGAGATCTACCACTCCATTGGCATCCCCTGGCGGTTGGGGCCGTGGTAATGGCGTCTGGGGCCCTCAGTCTTCCGGCCTGAGCCAGCCTCCCGCTAGCGTTTGGGGCTAGTGGAACACCTCCGCGCGTTGAACGGCATCATGTCTTTGGAAAACGTCGGCGCAATTATGGAATTGAACAGGATGAGAATGATGGTTAGGAGGTTTGCGCGGGTGGGGTTTCAGCTTGATTTCAACATCGATTGATTTTCCACGGACACGGAAAACTTGATATATACCTCGGGCTCAACACGGTACTCGGAGTGAGGGTGTCTTTCGGCATCTTTTGAGGAGTTTTCTTTTTACACCATCAGCAGGGGCCGCATTCTGCAACCATGGAGTCGAACAGTATTGCTACGGGGTAAAAGGAGATGCATGTCACAGAGACACGAAAGAGGGGGATCAGCAGTTGTCTGGGGTGTTGGCAAGGACATCAGAGCGTCAAGGAACTGCTTCGGATGATCTGGGAAATCCAGGCGACTGTGAACACGGAGCAGGGCAATTTATTTTTCTGTTCTTTTGGGCAGTTGTCCGTTCGGGGCTGGGCATGGAATGATTCGGGTGCCAAAAGCGTCGGAGGGCAACCTATGATTCGAATTGCGAGCATACAATACGGCGTGGGCGTGGATTCCGACATCTGGTTTGACTCGAATGGGTTGGGACTGGGAAACGCACATCCGGGGAGTTGGTACAAGCACACAAGACGACTCTTCTTTTCACACGGCGAAAAAAATCACACAAAAAATCAGGGATTTGGGAATCGGGGTGTTTCTGGCTTTTCTTACTTTGGGGGGGATCCGTTTTTCCTTATCTTTCTGCTACGGGGGGTTCTACACCGGAAGGTTGCGCCGCAGGAGTTCTTCACTTGCCTTTTCAGCCCTCGACCGCTTCTTGGGACACCAGGGTCGGCCAGGGCTAATAATGGGGTTTCGTGGTTCTTTTTCGACATGGAAAAAGAAAAGGGAAACTTGACCGCATCAAGAGGGGGTTTTTGCTGGGAAAGATGCGGATTAGATCATCATCATGGGTTTGCGTTGGAGAAGGGATCGGATGGGGGATTGCTTTCTTATAGTTTTGTTTTGGCACGCACGCTCGCTCAGGACAGAGCAGCAACCTAATGAAAAAAAATACATGGATTTGGTCTCCCCTCCCAAGTTTGTTTGGTCTTGGATTGTTGTCTTTATGGTGAGATAGGTTAAGGATGACGATGAGTGACGGGGTCACGGGAGAGCATACTCCCCAAAGGTCTATCTTTTGGTTCGGAGAGGCCCGAACCTTGAGTCTGTTCATCACAACCTTGAGGAGAAGGTGAGGGGAGATTCACGCTAAAGGATGGGAGGGTAGTAAGATCTACGGCCGGTAGTTTGTATTTTCCCTTGCCTAGACTCTTGTCTATTCTCGATGATGGGTGACGCGGGTGTGATGGGCCGGGGTTGAACATTCTAGCGTGCGGGAGGAAGTGATCCCGTCCCATTAGAGACTAGGTACTGGGAATGAGCCATCCATCGTAGTGTATGTGAGTATGATGAATTCGAACATGAGCCCGCTCGGACGATGAAGTGTGATGATGATGTGCCCTGTTTTGTCATGTGTGTGTGGTTGCCTCGGGTACATGATCCGTGAGAAGGGGGACTTTGGGGGATTACTCATTTGGGTGAACGGTGAAAGGGGAAGGGGGTCCGGGCCGGTGGCTTGCGGGAGGTTCCGTTGCCGCTTCCGCCCGTTGGAACCCGTTTTTGGGGGGAGGCGCTCGGTCGGTCGGTCTCGCGGGGGTTATTTATTTAGGGGAGGGCAAAGGCCAGGCGGGTTTCAAAGGTTTTTCGTGGTTTGGTGTGGTTTTGAATTGATTGATTGTTGGGAAGGGATGCTTTACGTGCTGTGTGTTATTGATATTGGACATTTTGATATATGTAAGGTACCTAGCTTCATGGCTGGGAGGTGACGGAGGGATGTTGGCTGTTGATAGTGACGGGGAAAGGACTTTGAGGAAACTGCTATTCACGACTCGAGAGGCTCTTTGACTGATTTGTCTTGATTAATCCCCCCTCACAAGCTTGTGATGAAGAACCCTCTCCTTCCTCATGTCAATTCGACAAAGGAATCTAGATTTCAGTTGGGAGTCAGAATGGTACCCCACCGCTTAGGACTGGTTCTATCCAGACGATCCGAGGCTCTCCTGTTTCTTTTTTTTTTCTTGTCTGCAAACGGATATAGTCATCAAAGTTGCGGCCGCAGGTCGCTGGCCCATCCAACATCGAATGCAGGACCAAGTTGGGAAAAAAACGACGTTGGAGAACCGGGTGGGTGGAACCCGGGCCGCGCCGGAGGAAAGGGGTGGGGCCGCGGGGCGGGGTGAGAAGGACTCCCGTCGAAGTGGTCGGGTTGGATTTGGGGGCGGCCGTACCAACGACTAACGACTAACGGAGGTCTCGGTCTTGGTCTCAGTCTCGTCTTATGCGGCCCTCGCTACCGTACTACGGGTCACCGCTCAATTTTAAACCAGAATGTTTCTGTACATTTTTTTCCTCCAGTTTCCTACCTTCTTAAGGTACCACCTACCTACCACTGCTTCGGGCATGTTGTGGATGCATGTAATTCTGGTTTGAGGGTCCACTTCCTGAGAGAAGGCGCCGCCAGCCCCCCTCCCCCGGGCCCCTTACATGGTTCTCAATGTGGACAATCTCGTTGGAATTTGAGTTGGAAAGAGATAGAAGGAAAGAATGACTTCCCGATACGCAACCTGAAGGTTCTCGTTTCTACCTGAGGACAGGTTACAAGTTGTTGGACGTCCGATTCTCAATGCGTGTTGGAAACAAAAGAAACATGGGAGTATGATGAAAACATCCAACAAAATCCAATATGACGGCCTCAGAAGTTGGTTATGACTATGAGCCGTTAACCTTTTTTACATTTCCACATTCTTCTATACACGCCGGTAATATTCCGTGTGAATGAGGAGCAAGATGCCTTGGCTTCTGTCACCACCACAGCCACCAGGAACACATCCCGCAAGGGAACCTAAGCTATCTACGACATTGATCTGACATCGTGCCATCAAACGGGCTCCCATAGAATGCTGTTCCTTATATCTTTTTTCTACTTCAACTTCCGTCAGCCCGTCCCGGCGTTGGAAGTAAGTTAACGTCCTAACAACAGTACATACGATGAATCAGATGGTCTTTAATCGATATTCTTCGTCTTGAACAACCGCCGAGCGTCACCGGCTAAAGGACTTTGAATAAACAGCTTCCGTACCTCATTCACGAGGATAGCCTTCATCGTGGAATGGAGAATACTATCATCTCATATGACCAACGAATACGATATACTGCCACATGGTACGAAGCATCTTAGTCTTGGGCATACCATTTAAGTATGAAATGAAAACGCGCTATCAAACCAATAATACGCCCCCTTCCATCCAAACCTTTATCAAAACGCCTCACCATCATACAAACTTGCCTCGTCCAGATCCATCCCCAATACATCTAGAGCGCACGCTTGGAGCAGACCCATTTCCCGATACCGCATCCATCTACACCCCCAACACCTTAACCCCCATCTCCAAATCCATTGGATCATCAGCCCTCAACGCCTTCCCACCCCAAACAACCGTCCCCCTCCCATCAACAGCAAACGCCCCCGCAGTCTGCCACTTATTCCCCATAACCGTACTCGCCCCTCCCTCCCCTTCCTCCCCTCCACCAACACTAACAGCGGAAGCACCGCTCATCCCCGTGCCCCGTCTCTCCATCGGCGGCGGCTGCTTCTTCGCATTCGCAGCAGCGGCATACGCAGCATTCTCAGCTGCAGCTCCGCCCGTCCGCTGAATCGCCCCCGCGACTTTCTCCCCTAACCACCCCTTCTCCTTCCACCCCTGAACCTGGCTCGTCGGGTTGAAGACGTACCACACGTTGCCCAGCCCCAGGCCCCAGGCGGCGTAGATGGCGCGGTCCTCGTCGATGACGACCTGCACGTTCCAGGCACCGCCGAGCATGTCGATCCATTTGTTGGTCGCGGCCTGGGAGGAGTGGGAGACGGCTATGCAGGTCATGGTGCGGGCGTGCTTGTTGGCCAACGCCCTTAGGGCAAGAAAGGTCTTTTGAGCGACTACATTAGGAAGGGGCATATGTTAGTCACGAAGAGGTTTGTGAAGAAATGTAGTGTAGTGTAAGTCACATGGTGACTAGATGGGAATGGGAAGGCAACAGGGTCAACAAAACGTACAAGCACAACCGACGCAGCGTAAAAAGACAACGAGGACGGGACGGCCGCGGCCAAACTCGAGCTGCCTATCGCGGTCCAACGGGGCTAGTTCGCCAATCTTCGGGACCTCGCCGATCGGAACCGGCGGGGGCGGCGGGGAGAACCACGGCGCGACGGTCATGGGCAACGACTTCATCGACATCCACGCCGGCCAAGCCCCCGCGTTGCCCTCGGTCGCGTCGTCGTCGAGGCCCGCATTGGTACCCTTCTTGCTGCTCTTTGAGTCTGTCGAAGCGCCGCCGCCGCTAAAGTCGAAGCTCTTGCTGTTTAGGCCAACCTTCCTCAGGGCAATCTTGGTCGTCAAGCTCGACAACATGGTGACAATCTTCTTGGTATGCGTGTATATGAGTGGGTGTGTGTGTGTGTGTGTGTGGATGCGCGCGTTGAATGTGGGTAATAGCAATGCGAAAGATAGTATGTATCTTGTTTCCAAGACCAAAGACGTCTCAGGCAAAGAAAGCAACGACTCTGCGGGAACGGCTTGCAGGAACAGGCGGTGCGGGAAAGAAGCAATAAGCCGGCAAGGATCAATTGGGTTGAGACAGCGTGCAGATGTAATGCAAATGCAAGATTGACTTTACGTAGATGGCAGAGAGGTAATGAGAAGAAGGAAAGGAAGAGGAGACAAACCATGGCCGGCATGCGCACGCCGGCGGGCGGCATCCCAAAGAGACCACCTTTGAGAAACTGGTGGGAGGAGGGGGAGGGGGGAGGGGGGACGGCGAGAAGCTCTGGCGAGCTTTCCTGAAACTTTTGATACAGGGTGCGTCGCATGTTTGGTTAGCGAGCGCCCTGAGCTCCTGATCGAACCACGGAGAGAACCACGTCGCGAGGCTGAAGCCGCCTGTCGGCTTGGCTTGACTTGACCTTTGAAAAACCCCTGATTGGAAGGAGGTTTCTCTCCGCTCAGATTCATCGTTGCGCTGGGGATTGGGATGGTTGATTTTCAGCCTGGTGTTTTCCAAGGGTTGCAGAAGATCGGTCCCTCTGATTCTCCGCGCCCTGTGCCTCTCGCGAGGGAAGAAACAAGAGACTCCAGAAGAACAGACCTTTGTTTCGCTTCTACTTAAAGATGCGGGAGCTTGTATAGAAATGGACGAAAGCGACTTCAGGCCAAGATACCGTTTGATTCTGGATCGCCGGATTTCGGGGAGCCTTTTCGGGGAATCTCAGGGAACAAGTTACTTGACTTTATTTTCCTTGCCATTCCTTGAGGCGGGCCAGATGCCGCAAATTGAGCCAGGCCTTAGGAACCCAAAAGAGAGATCAAGATATGACTGAGTCTTGTAAAGGCTGCGATCCGAGGTCCGAGGGGTGCCGACCTTGCTGGAACCCACACCCGCATTCTCTGGATGGCCAATCCCCGTCGAAACATGTAGATGTTGATTGATGCACGACTCACTTGAACCGCTCGATACAGCTCACCGAACTTTAAATGACGAAAGCGCCGTCCGGACTCCCTGCAAATTGGCCGTATCGCTACAATTTAGCAACTCGCCAGTTAATTGACAGTGTCCCGACGTCCGTGGAGGAATTTAGGCGGAGTCTTGCGGAGACAGTGCCATTGATGCTACAGGCATCGAAGATGTCATGGAGGGTTTTGACCACTAGCTTGCCACTGGTTGATTGACTGGGAAGAATCTCATACAGAGACAGGAATCAACAGTTGAAACATGGTGCTGTTCAGCTGCAATGGTCCACATGAACAGCAGGGAGGTTACGTGGAGGTCTAAAGTGAATGTCATCGCTTTACCGTATTTGAAGTGGACTCCTCGCAACCACAGACGCAGCCTCTCTTGAACTTCGATATTATCGTGGTCGCTTCATTTGCAGCATTGAAGTCACCGGAGGACCGCCGGCAAGTTGAAGCCGAAAGAAATGTGCCAAGATCCGAAGAAGCCCAATGTTTGGGTGAATCGGAGCTTTTGGAACTCGCCCCGTCCGACAAGGAGAATTTGGTCCAAACAGCAGATTGGTGGAACTGACGTCGATCTGCGCACCCCTAGATTCAAGCAAAGCGGCGGGAGGAATGTGGGGAGCGGGAAGCGTTCACGGATCGTCTTCCGCCGTACCTTTGATTGCGGACGTATCGTAAAGACAGTTGAGTTGGCGGGAGGTCTCAGTTGGCAAACCTTGTAACAAGCGGCACGGCGGTGCGGGTGGCTGAGATTATTGACTGTTATAGGTTTCTTCCGAGTGCTAGGTAGATTCATCTTTAACCGGTCTGGAAGCTGCGTTTCCCACGTAGAAAATCTCTTTGGTTGACGCCATCAAGTCTGTCTCCTTGCTCCGTGAGACTTGAACAAGCGTGGACAGTTGCGTCTGGTTCGTGTTTGCCAGGAACGGAAAGGTGGGAAACCCCAAATCGGAGCTGGCAGTCCGAGCCGGACTGCCGATGCTATTCTCGAAAGACGAGCAAAGATGGCACTTGAGGTTACCATGTCAGGTCCGCGCAATAATAGCTCACTGACAGAATACGTATGTCTCCTGCGCCCCGCGGTGGGAGCCATCCGACGGAGGGTTGCACTGCATCTGGGAACGAGTAGCCGCGAGCGCACCTCTGCTTCTCATCACACAGGTCCCGCTCGGTCGGGCGCCTGCAGAAGACTCTCATCACTCTAGGTAGTTCATGGAGGCGACGGTATTGTAGGGAGGTGGGCTCGAAGCGTAATGGTCATTTCTAGGCCCTGGCCAATGAAGACGCACTTCTAGCTTGTTTCGTTTCTCTCTGCGACTCAAGTAAAGTGGTAGTTTGAGCAACCCGAGGCTGCATCAATGCGTACATTGGATACCGTCCGAGTCGAAGCAATGACGTCGGTGATGGCGTCCAGTCAGCCATCCTTTTGAGATGAACAGCAGCCACGTTGCGCAAGTCAGCCGCAAAGTTCGGTCATGAGTCCAGCTTGGGATCTTTCGTTTCTCTCGGATGTGTGATGTCCTGAGCCTTCACCTTTCAATGTGGGGCATTGGAACTTGCCGACAAGTGCTGTTCAACTTTAAGTTATGGTTGAAAACGGGCGAACTATTTTAACAGCCTTAGCAAGTTGGTGCTTTAAGACATTAGCGCAGACAAAGTAACGATGTGTTGACAAGTAGAATGTTCCATAATGGCAATGTTGGACTTGCGGATGGGATTTTTGAATGGGGTGTCTCGACCAGTCTGGATAACTGTTTGCAGTTGCAATCGAGGTAAGACAGGCCCCCATCCCAGGTCATCAGCAAAGGCGGTGGCATACAATGCCCGATTGGCACCTTAGTTGGCGATGCTCTGTGATGGTTGGATACGAAGTGAGATGCCACAGGCTGCTGTACGTAAGAGCGTGACTTGAAAATCCGAACGAGAGATCGGGTGGAAGTAGTTGCGATGCGATGAGAGAGGGGAATTGTCTTAGTTCAGGCGGTAAGACTGGACGAAGACAGGTAACTCAGCCGCCAAGCTTCGGCCGCTTCTCGATCTAGCATCTCTCAGAGACATTTCACCCTCTTTGCTCGTCTGTTCACGGATCGTGGCCGCTTCCCAGCCCTTCTTTAACCTGGAGCCACATGGCTACGGATGAGTATAAGTGGCTTGCCAGCCAGCCGCAAAGCTAAAGGGCCGTCCCGACCAATCCACAACGGAGAAAGTAACATTGACGGGAGCCCACTGCTTCGAATAGAAATAGGTTAACGGCAGGTCGGGTCTATGTTCATCGTGGGTTACTTCTAGCTGTGATGAACTATCGTGATGTCAAGCGTTGTGATGAGCGGGCGCGGCGATACCTACTCTGGCTTGCTCGTTCGAAGCTGAGTGAATGTCTCACTGTAGTAGCTCATCACCGGAAAATTAGAGCATCACGTTGAACCGACGGAGCAGGTAAGCGCGTGCAAGTTGCCACACCACGCAATTTTGATCCGAGGCCTCTGGATTGGGCAATATACTCTGAAAGGAGAGAGAGAGGTTTGCTAGGCGCCGGGACATAGCAATATGACGACCCGTTCAGAGCGCTTGAGACGCTGTGCTGAACCCCCGAGGAGTTGATGTAGACGAGCGAATAGCTGATGGACGGCTGGCTCGAAAGTGAGGGGCAACTCGGCCGTAGTTCCGAGTCCCAAGTCACTTGAGGGCTTCGGTCGGAGGAGAGCCGAATCCTTCTCCCTCAGCTGAGGAAAGTCAAGTGTCAGCCCCCAAAAGGTGCTGCTGCTTGTGCTCTCGTCCTGTGCCGCCTCAGGTGTCGTCGCTGACGCTAATGCTGACGCTCCTGGTGCAGTGTTGGTATTCCGGGCGTCGGCGTCGGCATTGTAAGACCGCTTGGGTTGACCGACTCGCCAGGAAGACACGCTGGAGGAGCCGTATGGTATTATGGCGTGGTCTGGCGGGGGAAGCTTCGGCGTATGACTGGATCGGCGAAGGGGTATCGGAAAGGACGAAGCTCCCTCATACCGGGTCTTGGGGCTTAGAATACCTAAGCGATGGCAGGCTATGGATGATGGACGAGACGCACGGAGAAGGGGTCGACCGGGGAGAGGGAGGGTCCGAGACGAATTGGATCAGGAGTGATCAGAGAAAGACGAGAAAGCGGTCGAGGAAATGGAAGACGGGGTGAGTTGCGGAGACCGGCAACACGCGAAAACACGACCGGGCTTTGGGAAGCGCGTTGGTGATTCTGGTCCATTGTTGGCTCGGCTTTGGACGGTTTGGGGCCCATGGCATCGGGGGTCGTCGAAAGCGTTGCCGGACAGGCCTCTAGTACCAGACTCCTCGAGTCTTGACAAACCCTCGAGGTATCTGCAGGCAGTGGCGGCAGACGCTGTTGTGTCTTTTGGAGCCAGGATGTGTACGGAGAGACCCCACCAGCTGCTGGGTTCCTAGAAAGATATTCAGGTGGCCATAGTATCGGGACCCTGATAATTTTAAGGTGGTGGAAATAGATGATGCCGGCAGGGGCGGCGGGAGTAATGGGAAATGGAAATATCCGTTAGGAAATAAAATAAGAGGGAGCGAACAAGCGACAGGACGCGAGACAAGACAAGATGAACGACAACACGAGGCGGGACAAGAAAAAAGGGAGGTGCAGGCGTCGTCCGGGCCCGACATTCGGAAATCAAGCGAGCGTCTAGAATGTGGATTTCTCTACTTGGTTGTTGATACGAAGTAGGTAATATCTAGTACCTCACTACTATGTGAAAATGCATGGTGTTCTCTCTGTTCGAGACATTGCCCTCATTCTTCACTATGTCTGGGCAAGCACGTCCAAGGTCATGGGCGCGGTCGCGGTCGAAACGTGCGTGGCAAGCCGCAAGGCAAGGGGAGGTGCAGGCTTGCAGGCTTACAGGCTTGCAGCGCAGGCGCAGGAGCAGATGCAGCCCAGGTAAGCACCAAGCAGGTGCCTGAGCAAGCGGGCAAGCACATGCTCCGGTCCCAGAAAGTTCCTTCCTCCTTCCACTGGGAGGCGGGGGGACATGAGGAAGGCAGGACCCCATTCCACATCCACGTTCCCAAATGACATTGCCAAATCCCTCACTTTGGGAATATTGGCTTGAGTGCTTCAAGCGGGGCTTGCTTGTCTGCACTCTGCACGCTTACTAAGATAAGATACATCGGGGCGCACCTGTCAACAGCCGAGCTCTGAGGTACGCCCTACCTTACTTAAGATATGTGGCAGGCGGGAGACGGACGGGAGGGACATACTCAAAGTAAAGAAAGTACGAATACAGTATCTTATGTCATAGACCAGGAATCAATTCAACGTGAGGGCAGATTCCCCCACTGCGGGAGACAGCTGCCGAGCCACAGAGAGCACACGCATAAATGCTACTTTCTTTTCAGGTTTCTCCCCAGCTTCCTGCCTCGGTTTGCGGACCACAAATAATTACATAGTGCTGGATAGCAGGGAGGAGTGTCCAATCTAACACGGCACGACACGACACGACACAACAGACACACACACACACATAGGTATACACACGCATATCCAATATCCGTATATACACACACACACACGCACACACATCCACGCCGGCCAGAACGCCAAAATCCAAGACAAGCCACAGGTAGCCGGGTTTTGCGACGTCATATCCCAACAGAGAAAGGGCCTGTCAGGAGCCAAGTAGCAAGTGACAAGCGGTGGTCGGAGGGGGGCGTGTGGCGCCTGTCTAACCCCTTAACCCCTGTCTGTAGCCCGTTTTACACCACGACGTTGGTACGGACTCGCGGAGCGGCAGCTGCAAGTACTTTGCCCATCTTGGGGGCTAGGTACCTAATCTGGATGAGGTCTGGAGTCTGGAGTCTGGCCCCAACTACGTAGTACGTATCCCACACGCCGAGTGAGCAAGTAATGGGAAGTAATTTCAAGGCGCCATATCCGTCCGTACCTGGCCTTACCTTGAGAAGCACGGTAGGTGCTGGGCAGAAAGTCGTCGTGGGCGGATGATGCAGGTGACAATGCGAGGGTGGGATTGGGAACTTGGGAAGTCAAGCGGCCAGCCCTTACTCCCGCGAGGCCGCGAGGACCGCGAAATGACCCCTCCTCCCCTAATCATAGTCCCCAGTCCCTCTCAGTCTCTGTCTTCATAGGGTCTCTTTCCCGCATGTGCACTCTCTTCCACCAGAAATATCCAGAGTGTGTGTCGTTTTCCCCACTTGAGCTGGTGCTCTTGCGGCTTCCTCGCGCGCGCTCCGTGCACACACTGTGGGTCGAACATGGTACAACCCGTGGTCGTAGCTTCTTCCGCCGCAGTAAAGGGATGCGACCATAGTGACCCTCGAGCACTCCTTACTCGGGTCGGTAATGTAATTCCCATGTTATCAAGATTGCCTACCTATCCTTACCAGACATCGTAAGGTAAAGAAGGGGAAAAGGGAAGGCGGCCTAACGACTAGTGAGTGAACCCCTCAAGGTGTCTAGCTGCAGCTACAACTGATCTGACCTTTGGAAGTACCTTACCTGATGCTGTCCCCGGCGTCAACCAGTACCGTGGCCATGTCGACTGAATGAGGAAATGACAGACGGGAGAGAAGAATCTAGAGTCGGCAATCCGAAGCAAAGGGAAGGAGTAAACCCGTGAAGCAAACTAATAACCGACTGTCTGGTTCCCATGCCTCCAACAGCCGTTGCTGCGTCATGATATGGCTTTGGCGAGGAAGGAAGGTGCAAAATATGATGCGATGCTTTCCTTCCCTTCCTGTCCACGACTAAGGTAGTTCTTACGTTGAAGGTGACATGCTCTGTACTGCGGTACCTTGGCGTCCCTGAGGAGGTACAAAAGTATCCTACATCACTTCCATCACTATACATTTGGCACCTGAAGTATTCCAACAGACAGTCAATTCTATTCTGCCTCGCAACAAGTTGAATGTCACCGGCTCGACTCAGCACTGCTCACTGGGCATGCTACCATATTCCAATCAAGAAAAGATGGTTGGACCGGTAATCACTCTTCGTCCAGTCACTCCGGCGAGTTGGCTATTGTTGCTGATGCTGATGTTCAAGTTGACTGTTGCTGCTGCCCTGCCACGCTTTATTTCACGTTCCCCTCCTCTTAGAGTGCACCGGAGGCCACACACCAGACGAGACTACTAAGCAATCAGATGGAACTGTCGCAGGAATTGTGCCGCCAAACCACCACAGACAGGCACAGTGACCACACACACACGCTGCACCAGCACCCGCACACTACGCTCCGTGCCTTGCCGAACCCCCATCGTGCCTGAATCTCAGCATCACTTTACTTTGCATTGCCCAACTCTCCTTTTCGGTGAAGTCATTGAGCCCTGATCTGGACCTTGCAGAGTCTGACGGGGAAGAAGAACCAGGGCTGCAACTGCAACTGCAACTGAACTGGAACCAGCAGGACCGTGACCGAGACTGACTCTGGTGCAATCCGCAGTGAACTGCGGCCTCACTCACTCATACCTACCTTACCTTACTCTTACTCTTACTCACTCCCCGCTCTCCCTGGTTCTGAGGAGGTACCTCTGCCTCTTGCCCAGCTTATTTTATTTCCACAGACAGAAGCGCTCCTCTCATTGCACAGTGTGTGCGATTCTCAATTCGCCGCGGCACACATGCGGATACACACATGCACATACTCCGTACACACACACATTCTCTCTTCATCGTCCTCTCCCCTCGCTGTATTCGCAGACGAGTGAGTCCTCGACCACCACCACGCTTTCACTCGACTGGCCCTCATTTCATAAGGTACCGCGATCTGGACCTGTCCCTACCTTACTTTTACCTGACCTCGCCTTACCTTGCCTTGCCTTACCTTACTTTACTTTCCCGATATTGGCCTTGCCGCTTCAGGAACCTCATCTCAACCTACCTACCTACCTACCTACCTACTCTCCTCACTGATCGCCCAGTCAGAGTACCTTCTCACTTACCTAAGAAAGGTACCCCCCAAACGCACCCAGTGCCGCACTCTTATTTTCGCGTAAAGAGTACTTGCACCACCCACCGCTAAAGTACCTCCTCCCCACCCCTGGTACCTTCCCTGGATTGAGGTACCTTCCCTTCCTTGCACACCCAAACGAAACGCTCCCCTTCACACTTTCCTTCGCTCTTGCTCTTCCGGGACATCATTCAATTCTCTCACTCTTCTGAGAATTGTTTTTCTTGTCTCTATCCTCCTCCTCTGCCTTATTCTGTCTGTTGCTGGTTATTTTGCTCGTTTGTTGCTTACCAGATTCACAGACCTTCAGCATCACAATTCCTCGCAGAACCCCGTGGCGGCAACTACGCAGTGCGCATCACCCCCTTAGACCCTTCTTCTCTCACCCCCAGCGTTATTTCGCGGTCCACCGCCCGAGCCCCCCCCCGAGTCCTGTCGCTTTTGGGCCAACGTCCCCGATCTAAACTCCACACCCTTTCCTTTCGCCTCCTGCCGTCGACGACATTCTCTCTCTTAGGTTTCCCCCCCAAGAGCACCATCTCCACGACACGACCACACAGAGAGAGGAGTGTGCTCTCTGCCTCAGCAATTCCTCCTTGCACCGACTACACCAGACCGAGTCTGCGAAACTTCATGAATACTTTCGGCACATTCGGCTTCCTCTAGCAGCCCTTTACTTGCCTTAGCAGCGGCTATCACAAAATCCCCGACCCTCTTTCCCTCCCAAATTCCCTCTTCGTCTACACCAGAGGCTCAATCTTGTGGGAAAAAAGAAAGAGATCCGACCACTCTGAACAGCGCCTGCCTCCCGCTCGACCGCGCCCAATTCAGTCCTCCTATTGCCTTCTCGATATCCTCGATACCCTCTACATACCTCGGCTCTGCTCTGCTCTGCTCTACCCGCGACGAAAAGGCGCCTGCTGCCAGATCTTCGACGATCTCCCTCTCTTGTCGCCCTGCGCCCGCGCCCGACTCATTCCGCTCACCCTCGTTACGGAAGCTGAGCCAGGACTCGCTCCATGGAAAGTCGAGCTGCCACAACAGAATCCAAGCATACATATCCAACGTCTCCTTGGATCCAAGCCCCCACGATATCATCGTCTACTTCGGGTTCCTACTTCGGCGACGCTTCCTCTCGCGTTCCGGCCCAGCTAGACTTCTGGCCCTTGCTCTTTCCGCAGCAAGCCTCGGTCTACCAAGCGCAGTTGCTACACTACACTAATCTCGTCTCACCGGGACGAGGAGGCGGCTTGCACCAACCTCAAGCGCTTCCTCAGGCGACGGTGGCTACCCCTCAGATCCAGGCGGCCCCTCGGTCCAGATCATCCTCCAAGGTCTCGAACAAGGAACTTTCCTCCACCAAGGGTTCTCAAGGAGGCCATGGGAATAGAGCCGTGCAGAATAAAGACAAAGGCGATCGCGCTGTCGTAACAGGCAAGGACGCTCCGCCCAAGATGCAGCATTCATCGCAGCAACAGCCGGAGCTTTCACATCCACTTCCTGCACGCCCTGCGGCCAGGACCGGCAATGGACAGTCGCACTCCAACTCCATGCCCTCGACTCCTCAGCAGCATGCTAGAAACTTCTCCTTCGAGTCGCGAGAACCCTCGCCAACGGCCACAAACAATCACTCCCCTCGCTCTGCCTACTCAGAGACGAACAGCAACCTTCCCTCATTACGACCCCTTCCCCCCCGGCTTGGTGGCTGCAAATATGAGACTTCTCAGATCAACTCGAAGAGGCGAATGCCTTACAGCATAGGAAGCGATAAGCTGGATAAGA